AAGAATTAAAGATAAGAAATTAAATGTATTTACACAATAATACAAAGGGTAATACTGTTAGTAAATCCAGGAACAAAGTTAGTAGCAATAACATATAGATATATACAGTCTCGAAGTAGGACTTCCTTAGAGTCTACGTGCTTGTAACTGACTTCTACAAGCGGTTACGTCACACTATTACTCTACCTCCAACTCAATCACAATCTCAGTCTTCTTACTATCTTACTCCTGTATACTGACTGACTCTGGGTATTTAACAGCAGCAGTCCAGGTACACTGGTAGAGTCCACTTATATGAAAAAGGGGAGGACCCCATAACATATATATATATATATATATATATATATATATGCAAAACAATATAAATCAATAAAAGGGGGAGAAAAATATATTTATGTAATTATTTCCAATGGAGATGTTATTGTGATCGCATATGTTTTTTCCTGAATAGAAAATATTGGAGTGTGTGTGTGCATACATGAGTGCATGTGTGTGTACGCGTGTGATTTGCTACTATTAAGCCTCCATGGAGGGTAAATAAGATGTCTTGTCACATTGCATCCTGTGGTTGAAGAGAGAAAAAAAAAGAGAGAAAGAGATGGTTTGGATCCTTTAAGTATAGTGCGGCTTTGTCAATGACACTGGAACAAGAAATGCAATATTTGTGATTAGAATGATATCTGAGTGAGAGCAATACAAATGCAAAGTAATGTGTACTTATGTTTTATAGATTACACAAAAACATTTGATAAGATATGACACAACAACATATTTAAACTGCTAGGAAAATTAGATCTATTTGGAAAAGATGTTATAATAATCCTGAATTACATATGGATAGAATATGAATTGAGTAGCTACATAAAAGTAGAAAGGGATCTAAGACAATAATGTGGTTACTTCTGCAGTGAGACTATCCAGAGGAAGCTGGAGACCCTACCAGGATTTATTACCAGTAGGCATAATCTTAACAATATGAGATGCAGATGACACTGTATTGATGGCTGACACTAAAACAAAAAATACAGGACTTCCTATGTAAAATAGTAAAAGAAAGCAAGAAAAAAAGGTCTAATCATTGATTGCAAGAAAACCGAAAGTATGGCCATCAACAAGAGGAAAAGCATGAGATATAAGTTACTGATTGGAGATGTCAATATCAAGCAAGTCCAGAAGTTTAAATATCTGGGAAATGTTCTAACAGAGAATGAAAAATACAGCAACAAAATTTGAACACATATTGAACTGCCAAATGTGGTTTCCAAAAGCTAAGCAAAGGGCTGAAAAACAAGAAAAATTTCATTTGAAACAAAACAGTGGATTGTAAAGTGATATCCATCCCCTTATATGGCAGTGAATGTTGGACAATGACCCTACAAATGAAGAGAAACCTGGAGGAAGACAGAAGAAATGTTGTTCTACAGAAAGATGCTGAGAATTCCATGGACAGTGTAAGTAAGCAAGAAGGAAGTCTTAATAAAAATAACAACAAAAAGAACACTTAGAATCAGGAAGAGATAGCTGACATTTCTTGGACACACAATGAGGAAGGAGGGCTTAGAAAACCTATCCCACATGGTACATATTGGAGGTAAGAGAGATAGGGGAAGGCAGAGAGTCATCAACTTACCTACACATGAGCTTGTGTGAATGGATAGTGGAATGGGGGTTTGGACCCTTAACAAAGAGAGAAAAACTGTTAACAGCCAGAGAGTAGTGAGAAGTTTTGGAGAGCCATGTTCACCCATGTCCTGAAGGGATGTGGCACATAGAAGAAGATACGTCACCTAGCAGGCATTAAATGAAATCTCCTGGCAGATAAGGTAGGACAATCTCACAGCAGTACTAAATCTACAGTTTAATAATGTCAATATTTTGGCACTTATTTTTTTAGGATAAAGAAATCCTGTTTTCATTGAGAATAAATAAGTTCTAACATTGAACTTTAATTGAGCTTGGAATTTTCTCCCTACAATTACTATTCAGTTACACACAATAATGTTTCTTTTCCTCTCACCACAATTGGACAGGTAAAGAAACTGAACTGTACAAAGAGGAAAAAAATCAATAAGAAACTGTTTTTGTGTAATTTGTTGTGGATTTGAATCAACCCACAACAAAGAAAAAGTTGTTTATTTCAAATATAAAAAGATATTTTTATTTTCATGATTTTTACAACTACATTTTTCTTACCTTGTATGAGTGTTAAAGTTCTTACAGTCTTTTGCTTGTAGCTATTTTCCAAGGCGAAAAGAAATGTGATTTCTTTGTGTGTATATTTGAGAAAGAAGGAGCAAGCGAGAAAGTGAGGAGGAAAGTGTAAGTGCCTTGTAGCATGGTGAGGCAGATGAGTGTATGTGTAAGGGAATTTCTTTTAAATCCAGCTTCATGACCTGTTACTGTTGTCTTTCCTTACTAGTTTATCTGTCTAGAAACTTTGCTTAAATACTCTTCAAAAGGATCATGAAGCAATTTTTACTGTTGGCAGGAACACAACCTGTTGGTTGAAAAATGTCAAATATTTATTTACAAAGCATTAATTTATTAACCAGAAACAATGCGCAATGCTCTAACTCGGAAAACATTTTTTGTGTTTGACTGTCTTGGTGTTTATCTCTGTCTTTGATCCACAATTTCTTGAAGATTGGAGATAAAGTTTCCTTAACACAAGATCATAAATATATAAACAGATAAGTTATTATTAAAACTGTTGATAAAATGATTTTGTCCAGTATCATTAAAATATAGGAATTATTGAGTGCTTTATTCTTGAATTGTAAAGATAAATTTTTAAATTTCTACAAATTCTGATGGGTGCTATGTGTATAAGAGTTTCATACTTTGATATAGTAGTAAATCCAAAGTTGGTGATATTCATTTAAACAAAATCAGCTACTACTTTCAGCAATCAAAAAAAGTAAAAAAAAAAGATTTTGAAAAACAGAAAGTGCTCAATACAATCCTACTAAATATATTAATATCTGTTATGTAAACATTAATTTTTCATTCAGTTAAGGATATTTGATTTATATTTTATAGCCCATATTTTTCAGTTATATTATCATGAGATAGGTTCAGCCAAGCTAAACAAATTATTAATAGTAGTCTGATTTAAGCCAAATTAAAGGTATTTTGTATTTTGTTTGTGTGATATTTATAAAAGTGATGTGAAAATGATCTATAAATTATTATATATCAGAACAATTTTATGAAAATCTATGACAAACCTGACTTGGGGTGGTAAAACCTGTTAAGGTCCCAGCTATGGGCAATTAGTGAACCTCCAAACAAAAATAAAACACTACGAAAGTATAAAAATGTGTTTTTATATAAAACAAATTACCAACAATACATATCTATAGCAACATGATCACCAATACAATTTTAAAGCCAAATGACCAGCAATACATTTTATAATAGAATTGCCAGCAATACATTTTATATGAAAACGAACAACAATACATTTTATCTCTAGTTGAAGGTATACAATTGCATTCAAAATATATTTAATTGGAGCCATAAAATTGTATTCAAAATATTTAGTTTTCAGCATTAAATAACCCATATGATTTGATATGCCACTAAATAAAATCAATCAACATATATTTTCAGCATTACTTTTTATTTAAAAATGGAACTCATCAAGAGCAACAAAGTAGACCAGAAAGTCTGCTACAAACAATTTGTGAGCATGAAATAAGTGTATATATAGGATATTGTGTTTATTGTCTCAATTTGATATTGGAGTGTATATATTGGAATTGGATATTGTACATATAAGTGTATATATTGGGTATTATTATTATTGTCTCAAATTGACATTAAAATTTGAATTAAAAGTTCCTTAAATTTTTTAACGTTAAATTTGTTTCTTTTTATTAATGAGACTTTTATTTATGAGACATTTTGTCCACTGGGATTTTGTCCTGTTACCATGTAATCACATCAACATAGACATCACTTGAGTCTTTCACACTCAGTAACCCCCTTGTTTCTTAGTGGCTTTATCGCTTTACTTGGGGTGAAATGATAAAAAAATAAGTGGGTAGACTGAGATCTCTAACCTTGAATGGGAACCAGTTTAGGGGAATGACTATACCGAATTCAAAACCATGTTGAAGGTAATGGGACTCTTGACTATTTTTGCCTAGAAGTCATGGCAATCCACTGATAAAGTAGAGCGCCATATTCTTCTACGTCCTGAACGGTCGGGTCATTTTAAAAAAAAAAAAAAAAAAAAAAAAAAAAAATATTTTGATGAAATTTTATATTAAATTATTATTATTAATTTTTCCTAATTTAAATGGACTGAAAATATTTTATTGATTTTATTATTTTTTTAAAGTTTATAACTGAATATCCTTCATTGATTGATGTCTTTGATACGAGATGATGACACAGGAAGCATTTTTTGTACAACACTAAGATTACTTATTTATTATTTTCTTTTTAAATTCTATTTTTATATTGATGGCACTTTAATCATTTATTTCCTGTACTTATGATTATTAACAACTATTTCTAGCGAATTTCAGCGTGAGAATGTTTTCTGACTTATTTTGTAATTAATAAAAAAATATAAATAAAAATTTATGATGCTCCATAAAAAAAATTAAATAAAAAAAAAACATAATCGACTGAGTTACTGTTGTTATCTTTCTTAAAAATTAAATGATTTTTTTCTTTTCCCAGAGGACAAAAGAATATATAAAATAAGAAAAAAATGATATTATAAAATTACACATAAAAAAATGAAAGTAATTCTTGGAAGTTATTTTGACCTGATTAACCTCGTAAGTTAATATCCCTTTCATTTTATCAACTTTGCGTTAATTTTCCGTTTCCCTTTCTGTTAAAATGTTTATTCTAGGACGAGTTCTGTCCCTTGTTGATTACTCTATTAACACAATAAGTCACCTCCCTTTTTCGTCACTACGTGCTTAAGATACCTCCACAAGACAAAAAAAAGTATCTAAAATCCTTTGATATCTATACATCATATGAAAAGAATACAAAATATACGTAGATTATTGATTACGTGAATGTTTACGAACATAAAATCTGAAGAAGTACTTCATTATAGGGTAAAAAGGACGACTACAGGCCGAAGACATTGGATATTGGATAGTAGAATTTAAAAAGCCTTAGCGGCCAGAACGAAAAGGGATATCCGACTCAAACAAAAAGACATAAATGGTGAGTATTGGATTTTTGAATGAAAAAAAAAAAATGGATATTTTGATACTTATTATGAAATAAAGAAGAAAATAATTGAAATGAGGAAAAGAAGTATTTAAAGTAAGTATAGATTTCCGGACCTGCTGTACAGAGAGGACAAGTCTGGGTAGTCACTTGCAGTAAATACGCATGCGTACGCCATTTCTCCAAGCCTGTGTCAGGTGAGACAGACACTCACTCACTTTTATACCTTTTGTTGTTATTGTCGTTTTTCTTATCTTTACTTTCTTTTCCCCCTTTTTCTTTGTTTGCCCGTTTTGCAATCCCGTTCTTTAATAATATACATTCGAGAAACTGGATCCTTTGCCCGTGCCCGGCGCGATGTCTTTTTTTATTTTATTTATTTATTTTTTTTTTTTGGCCTAGAGCTTCCCACTTTTTTCTTTTTAGTTCGTGCTTTTTTTTTTTTTTTTTTTTTAAAAAAAAGAATACCATTATATTTTTTATTAAAAAATTTTTATAAAATCATTGCTTTAGTTATGTCTGTTTTTTCACCTTTTTGCCTTGGTGAGTTTTTGTAGTTTTAATAAGTTATTGTAAAGTGCTAGAAATTACAACGCCCCGTATAAAAACACGGATTATTGAGAAAAGCGCCGTGGAATTGTGTCTTTCTATTTCACCGTTTGAAATAAGATTCTATTTCTGATGGTGACTTCGTTCCGGGTTACTTCCTTTATCCTTTTTGTTAAGAAGACTAAAGATATAAATTCCACATTTGTACCCGGAACAATGAACATTAAACTAATCTCTTGGCGATATTAATAATAAAAATAATAAAAAAAAATGTCTATTATTGAAATTTGAATAAAAAAAAAAATCATTAAAAAAAAAAAAAAAAAACAATCATTTTTTTGTTCCTTTTTAATTTGTCAGCTTCCGAAATAAAAAATAATTAAATATAGTAAAATAAAAAATTTAATCGTCATTAACGTTACAATTAATTTGAAGTCTACGAATACGAAACTGATGTATTATTTTTTAAGTACTGTGTATTTAAAGGAAAAAAAAAAAAAAAGACTATAAATTCTATCAGCTGCTCTGTCACGAAAAAAAAAATCTGATGTCCAATTTGCTAATAACTCCCAGCTTTTACCTCGATAAGGTTTTTTTTTTTTAAACTTTATTATTTTGAGTACAATGCCAAACATTCTTATCTCATTTTTTATCTACTGTAGTTTTTTTTTGTTGTTTAAAATTAAATGCTGATTTTTAAAATTTATATATTTTTTAAAATCTTGTTTTTAAACTTTTCTCAATTAGTAACTGATTTGTCTCGATTTTTATATTTTTTTTTATTTTATTTAACAAAGTTTTTTTAAATTGACCTTTTTGTGAATATTATTTCTTTCTTTTTGTCTCTTGTTTTTCTTTTTACACAATTAGCATTAAATAGATCTGTATTTCATATTTTAAATGATTAGTTTCCTTTGCAAAAGAAAAAAATGCGTGCTTAAAAGAAAAGCATTTTTAGATTATTTGCTAAAAAAAGGTGATAAATCACGCGGTTTCGATTTGATAAATCGGACGTATAGTTTTTTTTTTTTAAATAGCTATATGTACGATCGTAAAAATTATATTTTAACCACGTAAGTGATGATTATTGAACAATAATAATAGGTTATGATGGTGAATTGATCATTTAAAGTAGTTCTTTTTTTTTTTTTTTTTTTTTTCACTCTTGCTTTTAAGTTGTACTTAGTACAAACAACTTATTTTCCACGTTCGAAAATAAGCTAGTTGAAAATGGTCTGACTGATCTTTGTAAAATTGTATTGTAAATAAATAACGGTTCAATATTTAGTTCTAAATTAATTCATACGTTAATTTATTTAAAAAAAAAAAAACGGAATTAAAATAATATTTATTTTTGAGGGGATGGGGAGAAATTAGACAATGCAAACTTAGTTGATTTGACGACTTAAAGGCTTTTCTAGAACGTTATTGGATTGTAAATGCTTTAAAGTTGAACATTGCGTAAAGACGGTTAAGAATAGATCTACGTTTTTATTGTTAGATTTTTTTTCAGATTTAAAGATCTTGTATAATCAATTTAGATGTGTTTAGTTTAAGTCTGCGATGTCACACATGTTATCGATTTGTTTTCTTATTGATTCCTACTTATTTCACAAGAACATTTATCTATATTTCAACAAAAATAACACGTGCGGCCAGCAATTTCTTATATTTCGATTATTGCAAGATTTTTTACAAACAAACTAGGCAATAAAAAAAATAATACTTCATAAAAAAATAGCGCAAATATGGCTTTTGTCAAAAAAAGAGGGATCAGTTAAAAGAAGCAATAAGGAATTTTTAACTAAAAAAAATCTTCTTTTTTTTTTTTTTTTTCTTTTTGTCGCCACAAAATTAAATTATCAAAATAGTTTTAATGAATTTGTTCACAATCTGAAAATCTTCCAGTCTCAAAATAGATGTACGTTTATTGTTTATATAAAAAAATTATTTACCAGCGATTGAGTGACCTGGGAGGGTTGTTCACATAACTTTTCCTCTCTACGTACGACTACAGGATACTATAACACTTAGGCCTACTTAACTGTCAGCCTGTTGGTTAACTTTTTTTTTTTTTTTTTAATTTTTTACTTAACTGCCAAATATTGTCACGCTTTCGTAGAAATATATTAAACGGTATTGTAGACATTTTAAAGCTTCTCTCACGCAGTTTCATACACCATCACTAAAAGAAGTCCACTAGTTCTGTTACTAACAGAAGAGGAGAATATTGTATGGGAAACACATGGTGATCTTATCTAGGCCACTAATGGTATTCTGAAAACTTTTTTTGTTTTACTCTTGCTTTAAAAAATGTAGTCACGATATCGTGAACAGGACGACTCCGTGTTAGCGGATTTTGCTAGAAATGTTTCGATTACTGTATAAAAGAAAACTACAATCATGTTTTCGACGGTAACAACAACTGATTTATGTCAGATTGGGGGGGGGTGAAAATATTTTTTTTTTTTCTCGATAGCAAAAGTTGATAAGGCAAAAGTTTTTTTGCCGCAAAACGTTATATCTTTTCCCTTCAGGAAAGTCAAAGTTCACTTGATTAGATGTTTAAAAAAAAAATGGTACAGTAAAAAAAAAAAGAAAACAAATAAAATACAACAACAAAAACGGAATAATAATGATAAATGTTTTAATTTTTTAAATTTATATTTTTTCATCAGTAATCTTTTTGTTCGAGTAAATTGGAAACCGTTGTGGTCGGATTTTCATAAAACTTTTTTTACTACAAATATAATTTATCTACGATTGTTTTTATTTTTATTTTCTTTCCAAGTACTGATACAAGAAGACAGATGATTTGAATTGGATATAAATCTCATTCCTCAACCCAATAAGGCAATCACACACTCATTTTATTCAGAAAAAAAAATTTAAATTAGGTAATAGTAAGTAAATAGATTATATTTCTAAGAATTTTGATATCTCTAAATTCAGGATTTAGTTAGCTTCGTTAGTTATTAGGGCGACATTAGAGATCTCTGTGTAAAACTAAAAACAATAGAGTTCAATTTATTTGACTTTTCAACGTATTGCTCTCTTCATTCTGTTAAGTTTATTATTTTAAATTTTTAAAACTAATTGACATTTTTAAAACTTTGCTTTTTGTCACTGTGATAATCAAACAAAACAAAACTATGGATTAAAAAAAAACATTCTAAATAAAATCATATTTTTCAAGATCATTATTCTTGCTTGACTTACCTATGTTAAACTTTCAAAAATAGAAAGCAGTTTTAATAAAAGAAAAAAACAAAAAAAAACGGGCAATTTTGTTTTCGCTACTTTTCAAATGTCATGTAAACATGCCTTTCAGTTTCCTTCCTCCATAGGAGGTTTTGTATTATGCCTCATAGGTTCCATGAATTTTACAAGTACAAAAATTAATTGATTGCAGCGAGCATGGAGTGTGAAAGACCTACCCACAGTTCAGATACCCTCTCCTTAGGCTTGAGTTTGAACCCAAACCAGATGGTTGAAGAATTAATGCTATCATCAAAAGAGCCTCAACACCCATCCCAAGAGACTTTGTGCAATATGGTATGATAGAAATTCCATTTTTTTTTTTATTTTTTTTATTATGTACTCTTGTAAATATTCTGCCAAAATTGTGTTCGGGGACTTCATTTACCATCTTGGATAACTTTTTCAGGTTTTATTTTTAACAAAGTGGAGTGAAAGTATGCACTGATGCTGATTTTCCTTTTTCTAAGAGTTTTCATGAAATAATTCAACTGTTGAAAAAAATCTTCGGAATTATGAACTCAATTGGTGACATTTTAAGTAGATTCTCTAGTTTGGGTAGCAAAATTAGTGCATTATTATATATTTATTTTAACATTTGTAACAAAACTTAAATTATTAAAAGGAAATTAAATTTTAATTTTTATTCAAACAGGTCAGTCAAATTCTTTTGAGTCTTAATTTTAAATTCAGTGCAGCTTTCAACTCCATTTAAAGTCCTTTTTTATTAAAAAATCTCTTATCTATTTTTAACATAATTCTCTGATTCAATAGGTAATACTTAACTTATTATGCATATATTTTGCAAAATTATACAACACACACACAAACATCTGTTATAAAATGTTACATCAATTTTGGTATCATCATTAGTGCCACTATATTTTGTTTAATGTACTAGAACTTTGAATTTATTTCACTCTCTTTATTTGTAAATTTAAAGGTACCTGGCTTGTTAACAGTAAACAAACTGCAATATTTTCTCAAATGTTAGACTTCAATTTTACTGTAGCTTAAATAATAAGTAGCTTAGTACACAAATGGTGTTCAGTATCATACTGTTATGGAGGATATTTCATATGAAGATGCATCAATTAAGTCTGACATGTACTTAATAGATGAATTTTTATCTGAAAGTTTCACTGTAATGTTTGATCTCTTTAGTAAATATTAATCGCCAAACCGAAAGCATTCACAAAGTAAATTTGTGCAAAATATTTTTTTTTTTTTTTTTCATATTTAGATTGCAGAATTATTGATTTATCCATATACAATTTCACTAGATTACAAATAGAAATAAATGATTGGTTTATATTGAACACATGTTAATATCATAAAAAAACAGTTTTATGGCTAAAGACCAATCATTGGTTTTTGTGTATTATATAAAATTAAATTTCATTATCTCCTAAACAGTTCAAATAATTTAACTCTTTTCTTTTTTTTCTCAATTACATTTAAAATAGTTTACTATTAGGGCGATCTTGCACTTTCTCATGTTAAATTATTTATTAATACATATTTCAATATTTTATATTTTCAAAATTCACATTTTATAAGTAAAGTTAAAAATACACATATTTGATATTCTATTTATTCGTTATTATTAAAATGATAATTTAATGTGAGAAAGTGTAAGATCATCCCAGATAGTTCTGTATCCTCCCCTGTATTCTGATGGTGTTTATTTAACTTGGCTGTAAAATTTATAATCAATCCAAGCACAAAAGTTAAGATTAAATTTTTTTTGCATAGATTAAATAATCCCTGACAGATTTATTGGTTACAACAGCCTTCCTTGACCTTAAAAGACATAGTTTTAATAATTCTTATTACATAATTTGTATTCCTCTTGCATCTGTATATTTGTAAGAATTGATAAAGGAAAGTTTTGTTTGCACTATCTTTCTTCTATATAATAACCTCAATACAGGAGAAATTTCTTAAATTTATGTACATGATGTAGGTATTAATGTGTGTCTCTCTCACACACACACACACACACACACACGTGTGTGTGTTATATATATTTTAAAGAGGGAAAAGCTGCAAACGTTTTTTATAATGTGGATATTTTTATATACTTTATTCTATATATTTTGCTACACATTTTTGGTTTTGTGACCTTCATCAGGTGAAGATTGGGTATTTCCACATATTATTTAAAGGAATTAACTCTTCTATGCCAGCCAAAACAAATGACACGATTTCTTAAAATGTAAAAAGATTACAAATTTCAAACCATTTTTTTCTGCAGTACTTTTTGCATATATATCTGATTGTGCACTCCAGATTACAAATTTTCCTTTTTTTTTTTTTTTTTTATGAAATCATGTTAGATGTGTATGTTTTTGTTTGTGTAGGGAGGATCAATTTACATGGCAAACTTGACTTTTATTAATTTTATTTTTTTGTATATTTGTGAATCTGTAGTGGTTAATCTATAGGATCAGATAGTGGTTTCTCCTTTAAAGGGAGATATAAGCTTAAACCCTATTAGAGGCCACATTTTCTTTATTAATAATTTTTTTCTAAGTACAGTTTAAAAATGGGTCATCTACTCAAATATAGGTACTCACTAAAAATAAACATGTTAGATTAAAAATAAATGCATCAATTCTTTGTGCATGTATTATATATATATATATATATATATATAAATAATACATGCACACACACAAAGTGGTATGAAGAAGTTCCCACACTAGTTATGTTTTACAAAAAATTATCTAAGCTTTAAGATCATTCCTTTTGGAATAATCACCTTATGCAGCACTGGTCCTAACCTTCCTGCCACTTTGGGCTGCATTTTCAGTTTGGGGAAGAGATGGAAGTCAGTAGATGCAGAAGCGATACAATGTTGCTTTTGGCTAGAAAGTCACCAGTGAGGAAAGCTTGGTGACAGGGTGCATTGTCATTTTGAAGAATCCAATCTTTTGTGCTCCACATATGCGGTCATTTTTGCTGAACATCCTCCCACAAATGCCTCAAAACATTGTAGTAAATTGGTGGCCTGGCACTTGTGGAGGTGTTCTTGATGCACAATACAGTAGATGTTGAAAAAAAAAAAATGAGCATGCTCTTGATTGAGCTGCAGCTCGGTCGTGGAGATGAAGGGCTCTTTTACTGTGTCAACTTCTGCTTCGTCTCAGTCATACCCCTAGACCCAAATCTCATCACTGGAGATATTCCTCAACATGAAGGATGGGTCATCAGCGACATGCTAGCAGAGATCTTGACAGACTGGCACAATGTTCTTTCTGCTCAGTGGTCAACAGGTGAAGGAGCAACTTGGTAGCGACTCAACACATGTTCAATTCAGATGTTAGGATTGCCTGCACAGACATATACAACATACCAACAACATCAGCAGTATCGTTGATTGTTCTCTGATGATTCTCAAACAGATAACAGAAATACGTTTTCACAACATCGCTCACGTGACGACGACGTGATCATATTTAAATGGAATGCTGATCTTATAAAAGATTTCTGTTATCTGTTTGGATTGGTATTGCTTTTATGTCCATCATCTTTTTCATGTTGAATTGTATATGGTCTATGTTAATTATGTTTTATGAATATGTCCTGTAGATGGTCTATTAGACCGAAACGTCCGACGTTGACATTAAACATTAAAACAGCATAATCGCATATTAGGATTTTTGTTTGTTTTTTCAGTATATTTTCTTATATATATATATATGTGTGTGTGTGTGTGTGTGACAAACTGGAAAAGTTTATTTTGCAACTAGTTCGGATTTCATCAGAATGGGCTTTGTTGACATTGCCATGTCTATGCAGGTAGAAGTTTCAACATTTTTGAAATTTTTTTTTTTTTTTTTTTTTTTTTTTCTCAATCTAACCAAATTCACTGTATTCTTTTTCTTTCCATCACCTTTGTCTCTGACTATCCCACACTGTGACAATATAAAATGCACATGTGTAGACGTGGAACATCAATAAAGCCCAGTCTTATGAAATCCTAATGGATCACAAAAACCTTTCCAGTTTAATATTTTTTCTAAAAACTGTTTGTTCATATACAAAATTATATATATATATATATATATATATATATATATATATATATATATATAAAAATAGTGTAGGATCTTAATAAAAAAAGATAGGATTAATTAATTTAAAAAAAAAAAAAAAAAACAGCAATTTAAAATCAATTTTTTAGATCTCATATGCAATTGGAGAGAAAAAATTCTAATTAAAATAATATAATTAAACAAATGAATTTTAAGTATGTAAACTTATAAAAGACTAAATATTGTCACTGTAAGTTTGTATCCATCTTAAATAACTGAGCTAGATTAAAATCTGACAATAAAAAATATTTTTGAATGAAGCAAATATGCTAACAAAATATCCCCTTCAGAATCTGATGGCGAGCAACTGTTTTGTAATTAACCTTCAGTGGTTGTGAGTTATTGCTAACTGAAATTAGCATATATATATATTTACTAATATTTAAGAGTACAAAAAAATTTTACTCACTCATTTTTCATTCGTGTCAATAACCCATGGCAAATATTTAAAATATAACGCCTTCAATACACAAGTACCAAGAAAATATTGATAATTGTTAATCAGTGTTTTGTAAATATCAGCAATATTTCAATTTTAAAATGCTTTCAATTTACAAAGGTAGACTGTGTTATATATTTAGCAGAAAAATTACAGACAATTGAAGTATTTTATTCACCGGAGGTTAGAATTAACAAAGGACTTGTTGTTAATCCTTTTTTTTAAATTATCACAGAAATAACCAGTCCAGTGCCAGAAGGATTCTTGAAAGATTTAGAATTGCTTTTACATTATACTGTTAGACAGTTATACTGAAATTATGAAATCTGATTCATCTAAGTTGAGGACAATTAGCAGATTTTTGTGAGACATAAAAATAGTGGCCATGAATATGAACAGTTTTTCAAGACAAAAGGCTCATTTGAGTCTTATTTAAACTTAGTTTTTTAATATGTACATCAGCTTTTTCTTTAATATGTGCAGATGTTTACTATTATTGTTATTAATAATAAATTTTGACTCCTATTGAAACTGTAGGTGTTGCTAAAAAGTTCTTTGCCTGACCTAATTTCTAAAATCTGAACAAATGACCAAAACATCAGAATTACTTTTCTTTTTTAATGTCATTTTGGTTAGGTCAAAGACTTTTCAGTGGCCCCTTGTAATTTCATATCTAGTTTCTCTTTATTGCACCTTTACTAAGGCTGTTAATCAGTGGCAGTGTAGATCAGAAATAAAGAATAATCTTTTGGAATTTC